TTCAGTTTCTTAGAGATTGATTCAATTGGAAAAAATCTTGACAACATCATCAGCGTTATGTGGGTAAATGTAACAAATCTTTTGCAAGGATATTCTCTTAATATCCCTTGGGCTTGGTCAAAGATTCATAAGAATCTTTGATTCTTAAAATTCACAAGATTCTTCAAGCGTAAGAATCACATAGGGACTTCCTCACACCCCAAATTTGGAACCCATGATCCTGGCTCCTCCAAGTGTGGGCTTTCTGACGGCATTATTGGCATGGTTCAGGAGCTCAGTAGAAATGCCGGATCTCAGGCCGCACTCCAGGAGGCATCCAGACCTTATTTTAACAAGATTCCCGGGTGATTTGTATGCACATTAAAGCTGAGAAGTGTGGCTTTAAGTGCAGAGGAGGTCCCATGTGTCTGACCTCTAAACAGACTCCCAGGGTGATTGTGATGTAGCTGGATCAATGATAAAATGGCACTCGATAAAACACTGCCCAGGACACCATACCAAAACACCATCCATTGAAAGCACTACGGTAAGCAGCTTGAGAAGCCAAGGGTCACAGGGTCAAGACAGTGCAGGATATGCAGGCACCACAGTTGGTGTTCTGATGCACTGGCTGGATCCAAGAATAAAACTTAGGATACTGAAAGGGCTTCATCTACTTTTCCATCCCCACACGCAGAGGAGAACACATCCCTGCATCCCTTACATGTCGGGGAGCAGCCAAATGGCCTACCTCTGCAGTGAAATTCTTAGACGCTGCAACTGTAGCTAAAAAATTGCCAACCCTGTGGTGGAGTGGTTAGGTTCCCACACTCCACTTCTTGACCTGGGGTTCCTGGGTTCAGATCCCATGTGTGGACCTACACATCACTCATCAAGCCACGCTCTGGCAGCATCCCACATACAAAATAGAGGAAGATTGGCACAGATGTCAGCTCAGGGTCAATCTTCCTCACAAAAATAAATAAATTTAAAAAATTTTTTAAATCGTGTGAATTTGGCATTAACTCCTTAATGTATTTATATATTTAACTTTTAAAAGTGATTTCAATTATTTACCACTGGGCCAAAGTGATGCTGTAGGATGGTGCAAAGCCCCAGGGTGTAGTGCTACCCACTCTCGGGTTTGCGGTCAGGTGGTATATGAACTTTCACTTCAGGAAATCTGGAGGGGTCCTGAAAAGAAAATGCTGGATACCAGGGTGGATTAACATGTAGTAGGGATCCTACAGTCAGGCACTCCAAACTTCTCCCAACAGGCCCCTAAAGAGCTGGAGTATGGTGGGGGAGGGGAAACGTGAGGTGGCAAAGTGCAGACAACCACCCCTGTTGTATGGCCTAGAAAACAGCCTCTACAAGGGGGAGCAACGGCACAGAATTAGAACCCCCGCTCCTGTTTCCCAAACCGGGGTCACTCCGGCTTTCTGGATCTTCAGTCACAGGCTTTCTCCATACGAGCTGTGTGAGGCAAAGTGGGTTCTTAAATATAAGAAAGATAAGAGCAACTCTGAAAAGAACAATTGACTTGCTTATCACACTGAATGGCTGGATGAGAAGATTCACCAAAGGAAAACCCTGGATCCGTCGCACACGCTTCACTGTATGCGAACATGCTTCACAAGTTTAAAGGAACCGTAAGTTCTTAGGAAGCAGAATGAAAAATTGGGAAAACTCACCTTGGAGGCAAGCTGATAGGGGCTGGAATTCTGGCCCAGTCAGGCCTCTACACATTTATTGAACTTTCCAAGTTCTTACCTGTAAACTGAGGACAATGGTGTCCACCTTGTAGGGTTCTTGTAAGAATGCATGCAAAATGCTTTCTTTAGTGGGCGGGACCCAATCTTCAACAACAATAAAATGGTGGCTTACTAACGTTAAGACGTGAACATTCAGGGGCGGGCCCTGTGGCCGAGTAGTTAAGTTCCCGAGCTCCAAAGCGGCGGCCCAAGGTTTCGCTGGTTCGGATCCTGGGTGCGGACGTGGCGCCACTCCTTGGGCCACGTGGAGGCGGCGTCCCACGTGCCACAACTAGAAGGACCCACAACTAAAATATACAACTACGTACTGGGGGGATTTGGGGAGAAAAAGCAGAAAGGAAAAAAAAAGGACGATTGGCAACAGTTGTTAGCTCAGGTGCCCATCCTTAAAAAAAAAAAAAAAATGAACATTCAAGAAAATGTATTGGTGGTTTATTAGACACCATGATGAAATCAAAGATAATGACGATACTGGTTCTAATTTTTAAATAGCTTTCTTTCAAAGAAGATTAAAACTGAGATAATAACAAAGATCATTAACATTCACTGGGTATGTACAGGCTTCTGGTGTCATCTCAGTCAGCGCTTATAACATCCCCAGGAGCGAGGCATGAACCCACTGCGCAGATGAGGAAGCTGAGGCCTGGAGAGGCGCAGGGAGTTCCACCGGCTCACGCAGGAGGCGGCAGAGCTGGGATTCACCCCTGGGCGCCCTGTCTTTTGGGCTTGTACCTACCACGGTGGCTCAGGTCTACACTCAGCCAATAATTGATTTCTAGGGGCTGCATTCTCCGCTGCCTAGTTATCCTTCCTAGGCGCAAACATAAGCTAAATCCCACAGCGCCATGGCTGCATGATAGGAGTCAGTTAGATTGACTTCCATCATCACCAAAGCCGGCTGCTTGCCTCTGGCCTCTCTGTTCCCATTGGCCAACTCATCCTTCCACGCTGCCAACAGTCATCTTTCTAAAGCATCTGTGTGCTCATGACACTCTGCTTGAAAGGCTTGCTGCCGTCCACAGAACCACGTGCTCCCAGGCGGCCCTGACCTTCCTTCCCAGCCTCGGCCTTGGATGTCTGGCTCTTCACCCTGTGCACTTACAGAAGACAGTGCCACATGAAGTCAGGGGTCCACACTTAACCTCCTGTGTGGCAAAAGGGGGGAAAAAAACGTAAAAAAAATTTTTTCCTTACATTCTCTTCGGTTTATAAAGTTAAAAATTTTGCTAAAATAAATTTTAAAAAGCTTTACTATTAAACACAACGTGGACGATCAGTGGAAACATGCATATATATTTAAAATTTTTTAATATTTTTCTCCTCCCACCAGCGATCTGGTATTTTAGTGAAGGACATAACTGTATTTGCATCTGCCCCAGAGTACCACGCCACCTCTTCCCCTGGAATGCAGCCCTTTCCCACTCTGAGGTGGCAAACTGCTTACCGTCCATCCTTAAACACAGTTCAAACGGCACCTCTCTGGAAAGCCTTTCCCTCCAAACCTCTTACACCGTCCATGTTTCCTTGCTTAGGGCTCCCAAAGCCAGGAGTATTTCTCTCTCTTACAGCGATATTGTCCTGCCTGTAATGATTGATTTCTCCAACAATAGACCGTGAGATCCTTCAGCTCAGGGCCTGGTCTCTGATTCCTGCCCGAGCTCTCAGCTTGGTGCTTGGCCGGCAGTAAGAACCTGAAAGTTTCTCACTGAATACATGAATGAATGATCAAAGTCTGAAAGGCCCCACTCTCCTTAGATCTCGCAGGGAAGACATTTTTGTACTGGACACGCTCTTGGACGCATCACTTTGATAAATCAGGCCCATAATACTTGAGAAGGGATTTGAAAGGAGCCAAGAAAGATCCCAAGTGGTAAATGTGTCTGTCAAAAGGCCAGCGACTTCCTAAGTGTGACCTGTTCGCACACCACGCCCGAACTACTTCTCAGATGTGGAGAATATTGTGTTCAAGATGGTATTTTGGGGAGTGAGCCCGGTGGCCTAGTGGTTAAGTTCACGCTCTATGCTTCAGGGGCCCGGTCTGCCAGTTCGGATCTTGGGCGTGGACCTACCCACCGCTCACAAGTCATGCTGTGGCAGAGTCCCACGTAGAGGAACTCGAAGGACCTACAACTAGAATATTCAACTATGTACTGGGGCTTGGCCCAGGGTTTGGCCCAGGGTGGTGGTGGTGGGGGGGGTGTTGATGGGCAACAGATGTGTTAGCTCAGGGCCAATCTTCCTCACCAAAAAGTATACCTCAAAAAAAAAAAAAAAAAAAAGATGGTATTTCTCTCCCCTTAGATTGAAGTTTTGCCCTCCTTCGATTTTTAACAGCTAAGTCGTTGACAATTCAGTCTCCAGTTTTCCTACTGGGGTCCAACATCTTGGAGCCACATCTCTTTCTGTCATGGAGACAACCAATTCTGGATTTCTCCAAGGGATTCAGAAAGAGCCCCTCCAGAACTCCCATCCTGTGCCAAAGGCAGAGCCCCTGGTCGGGAGGGCGTCGTCCGGCCCCTCGGGCCGCGATCCGGCCGGCAGGGCGGGACCCCCGCGGAGGGAGGCGCGGGGGGCGTCGCCCTGGGCCGGGGGCTGGGCGCAGGGGCGGGGCCGCGGGGGGCCACAGGAGGGGGCCTAGCGGGCCGGGAGGGGCTAGGGAGGGCCGCGGCGACCACGCCGTCCCCTGCAGCGAGCCCCCCCGCCCCGCCCCGCCCCGCCGCCCGCAGTGCGCTCGCAGGGCGCCGGCAGCCGCGGGCCAGGGCGCGCCGGCAAGTTTGCGGCCGCGGGGGGCGGCTCCTCCGGGGCGCGTGCGACGGTGCCTGTCGCCGGCGGCCTGCGGGGGGCAGCAGCGGCTAGGGGGACGAGCAGACAGAGGGCGCCTGGGCGCACCGTGGCCGAGGAGGCGGAGGCCCCTGGCGGCGCCGGCTCTGGAGACCCAAACTCCGCCGGGCTGCGCCCAGGACGCGTTGGACCGGCGCCGCTGCCGCCCTCGCTCGCCTTCGCCCCGCGGTGCCTGTCGCCTGCCCGGGGGCCGCAGCAGCTCTGCCCGCGGAGGAGCGGCGGCCGCGGCGGCAGCATCCCCAGCCAGGGCGGGAGCGCGGAGCGCCGGAGGCGGCGGCCGGAGCAGGAAGGGAGGGTCGCGGCGCCCGCGCTCCACGCCCGCCCTGCCCGAGCGCCCGGTGCGGGTTTCGAACAATGGTGCGGGGCGCCCGTGCGCTCCCCGCGCCCGCCCGGCGGCCGTAGAGGACGTGGCCGGCTCCGGAGGGCTGGGCAGGGAGACGCCCCCGGCCCTCGCTCGCGGGACTTGCCTGCGCGCCGGGCCTCTCGGGCCCCGAGCCCCGGGCGCCCCCGCTCCCCGACGGCGGCCCGCTCCGGAGAGTATGGTGCCGGCGCCCGGGTTAATCTAGGGCTCGGCTCGCTCCTGTTCGCCTCCTCCCCCTCCTCGCCCTCCTGTCGGCGCTGCCTCCGGGCTCCCGGCGTGTGGGAGTACAACTCTGCCTCTCCGGGGAGACCGGTTTGTGACCCCCTAACAGAACTTGGCCATTGAGAGCAAACCCCGAACAGCTGGATAATGTCCACTCCGAGCAGATTCAAAAAGGACAAAGAGATCATAGCCGAGTATGAAAGTCAAGTCAAAGGTAAGGATGGGAGCGGCCGCCTCGCTCCTTTTGTGTGCCTTCTCGTCATTGTGTTCCGGGAGTTGCATTTCTAACTTGGTGTCTGCGTTGGGGGAACGTGGCGAGGGACACTTGGAGCGCCGGGCTGAGCCACCCGGGGCTTCGGACACGCCAGTCCCAGCCCGAACCCTAGTGCCGTCAAGCCCACGGGGAGCTGGAAACCGGGTGGCTCTCCCCGGCTGCCAGCGCGCCCTCCAACAGGGAGAGACCTGGCTCTAACTTAACCACCTTCAGCTGGACAACTTAGAGGGGCGGCAGGCAGCAGCGGCCCTGCCCAGTTATCATCCTCCTCAGTATTATTTTAAAATGTTACCATTGTCACATTATTTTTTTTAAGGAGTTATTTTTCTGAAGTCTGGACACCAAGTGGTCCGGAGCTTCATTGAGTACAGGCAATTTTGGACATGTACACCGTTCACTATTAATTTATTAGGGCGCGTCCTCATTTTATAAGACGGCTCCCTAACAGCCTGGCGGTTAAACCGAGCAGGCACTAGTGGAATGCGACTCCTCCTTCATAATAGGCCAGAATTCAGTGCCATCTTTCACGCTCCCACGGCAATATTGCTTTATCATTTGCTGGAAGCCACTTGCATGTAAAATGAAGGTTTGAATATTTAAGTAGTAGTTTCAATCCATTTACATTGTCAACTAACGAACCTAATTAAGGTTGATTAAGCATTTTTACTGAATGTGCCTTGTGGTTTAAAAAAATATGTTTTCTCTCTGGTACAAGTATTTGGTGCTGTTGAAGTGTTTAATAAATAAATACATCTGTTGTTTTTTTTCCTCCTCTTTTGGGGTCTCTGACCGGTAGTTTTCCTTATTGAGACAATGGATGGAGTGTTGAGGTTGCTGCTGTTATTTGCAATATTTAATGCAAAGTTCCTAAAAATTGCTTCATAGACACCTGTGTTTGTAAAGATACAATGTTATGAAAGGGCCACGGAGGAGGGCATCCCTGTGCTTGCCTTGGGAAAGCAGGAGCAGCCCGGGTGTTCTTTTGTGTGGTTAAGTTGTGGAAATGCCTGGAGTCCTGTGAGAGGGCCTGGTGGGGGAACCCTCTGTCACCTGGGTGTGAATCTGGACCAGCTCATCATGGCCACCGACAAACGCCACGTACAAGTCCAGGGGCTGATATTTCCTTTAGGCTGACTCCTGTAATGGAGTTAAGGCAAACATTGTGCAGGAAACACAGATTTTTAAAATCTGCTTCTAATTAAAATAATATATTGTTATAAGAACTGGTTACATTGGCATGGGAGTTAATATTAGCAGAGAAGTAATTATTTCCTTAGAAACAGGTAAACTTTCTAATGAGTGTAACCTTTCTTAACGAGTCCAACACAGCCTAAAACCTTTCATTCTTAGGTGGAACTCTTGCTCAGCATCACCATTTCTCTGAGCCGGCTTTCCACATGGCTCTTTGTGGCAGGTCTTCGAGGAATGGCAGTCTGGCTTTCCTGCTGCCTGGAATACTGACTGGCAGAATGCATTTCCCAGTATTGGTTTAGTTACATTTCTGCTCTGAGGTCATTGTCCATGATCAAGTCCTTACATGAAAAACATGATTAATTTCTTTGAGTATGAATTCTCTAGTTATATGGTTACTTATATGCTTGAGAGTATAGGCCCTCTACACTGATTAAAAATCAGTAAAATGGGTTTGCTGGCCGGTAGTGTAGTGTTTGGGTTTGTGTGCTCTGCTGCAGTGGCCCGGGCTCTGTGGGTTTGGATCCCTGGCACAGACCTGCACACCACTCATCAAGCCATGCTGTGGCGGCGTCCCACATGCAAAATAGAGGAGGATTGGCAACAGATGTTAGCTCAGGGCCAATCTTCTTCACCAAACAAACAAACAAAAGTCAATAAAATGGGATGTGTTGGAATGTTTAGAATGTATCTGTCAAATCCAATCCCAGAAAACATTATGAACATGGTGAAGATTATTTTTGGAATAAATTCTGTCCCCTAGATCTGTCTGTTCTCTTCCACTCTCCTTGCTTACACACTGCTCCCAGGAGTCCTCAGGCTGCTTTATGAGTCTTTACTCCCCCTGCCCTGCCCTTCTCCTCAGGGCCTGTGTGTAGACTTTATCTGCTTACCCTGCAATACTTACACATCCTGTGTCTACCCCAGATCATGATTGCCCTATGCAAATATGGGAATAGGGTAATACAGTGGTGTCAGATCATACCTTTAATGGCACAAATTCACCTGTAAATCTAGGCAAAATCAAGAAGAGAGTGGGAGAGAGATGACAGTTAAATGGTGCCCAAGGCCAGCTGTCCTCTGCAGTGAGGGAAGGCTCCTTCGGAAGGGTGGCACGAGAGGCAGGATTGTGGTTTTCTCACTCTTTCATTTCCGGAGTCTCTCTTTAAGGGTGAGCATCTTACCCTGGCAGAGTCCTAGCCCACTGTTTAAAGATAGGTGGTTTTAGAACAACCAGCTCCTTTATTCTAGCCAGCTGTTTTATCTGATGACCAACAAAAGAACTGTGGCCTCTTCTGTTGCTGGAGGAAAACCTGGCTTTGTTGGACTCATTAAGAGAAGACACAGGTCTGCTCCCAATGAGTAAAGCCACATGTATTGGACTCTCTGGGGGGCTCAGGTGTATGAGTGACTTTGAGTCATTTTTTGTAGTTTTTTACCTTCCAACTTAGAACCTGATACTCTGGAGCATTGTCCTGTCTTATTCTTTCCTGTTTCCTAATACCAGTTGCATTTATTTCAGAATTTCTGAGAGGATGGTTTGATCTAAAGGAGTCACTCCAGATGTGGGATTTTGCCACTGTGGCTGCCTGCACATGTTTTGGGAACAGACTTCATGAAGCTGTTCCCAACTGTGAAAAGAACCATCATAGGTGATAATGTGTAATTTTATGAGTAAGATCATAAATGTGTCTAGTTAGATGCATCATGTTGGGCAAGTCACTTAGCTTCCCTCTGTGTTTTGGTTTTATCACTAAAAGATCCAGAGTTTGGATTCTTTCAGTCCTAGGGGTCTTTGAGTCTAATTGAAGATGTCATGTCAGTTCATATTAATCATTCAGTAAAATTTTCAAGCTTTTTGCATTTTCTCTTGGCTGCTGTGTTTTGGGGGGAATCATTTTTGCTTTTGTGTTTTTCATAATTCATAAGTGCTGTGTATCATTCGAGTTTTCAGGGAATTAAAATGCAACAGAGAATACAGAAAAATAGGAAGACCGTGTTCAGAAAAGTATAGCACAGAATTGCAAGAGGAGGGAGAATTGGAAATTATATAAGTAGTTGAAGAATAGATAGGTTTAAATCGGGGACAAGAAGACCCCAAGCAATAATTTAAAAGGAGTGTGTTAGCTAGGAAGAGAGATGGAGTATTTCATGCTTGTCGGTCAATTTCCCAAAGATTTAGAATCCAGACAAATTAATCTCTTGATTGTGTAAACCCTTAAAAAGCAAGCTTTCCTGGAAAAGTGTATGAAATGCAAACCAGTCGACGATGCTGTTCATTGGCATCTCTGGCGAAGAGCTTAGCCATGGGAAAGATCATAGCAAGTGGCTCACAGAAGGTTTGGGGATTATCTGTGGATTTTAGTGACCCATGTAGTTTTTGAATTCTGCAGCAAAAATATTGTGGAGCACGTATACAAAATATTGGTTCACATATGAGAACTAAAAGAATCAGAAGACATTTTGTGAGGTGGAACTTACGGATGAGGGGTTGTGTTTGTTTTTAATAATGCATGTTGTTAGTTGCTAAGAATTGACAGCTATTATTTGCAGTGTTTTCCTAGAGATAATCTCATACTCATCTACATGCCATGTGTACAGGAAGTGCCAAGAAAATCCGGTTCTTCGACCACTCTGCTGCCTCAACTACCAATAGTACATTTTGGTAGCAGATGGAACATGGGGAAGTGCCAATTCAATTTGATATGACCCCATGGCGTGCCGTAGGTTTCAACAGGGAGATTAAAGGTGCCGCTTCACTAATGTGGAAACTCTGTCTACATCTAATGTTCTTCCATCTAACCTGGAATAGAAAACAGCCACAATTTAAATTATGAATTGAAACTTTATAGCTTGGAGGGACTTTAAACACTTCTTGTCCAACCCATTCATTTACACGATGCAAGGAGGCATAATGATGGAGTTACACAGTGAACTATGACACACCTGGGACTAGAACCCAGGTCATGGGCTTGTCAGTATCGCGGTTGACTTTTAGATTCCTCACAAAGTAGAGGAGAGATAGAACACTTACCTCCTTAGACTTTGCATTCATAGAAGGCATCCTATTTGGACCTAAGAGAGAACGGCAATGCTGCTTTGTTAACAGGAGGAGTTAATTACCCTGATGAACTGTAACTGAGTTGTTGTTTTCACCCGGATCATTTCAAGAAATCACAATGTCCAGGCAGCCACTTCACATGGTGGCCTTAAGATCAAGAAAAAAAATATGAATATGTACAAGTATAACTTGCTTAAAATTTTGGGCAAACTAATTGGAGCTATTGCAATAAGACCTCTTATTTTGCCCAGAAACCCTGATGAGTTTCATGAACTTCAAAATATATTAAGGAATAGTTTTGGGGAAAGTTTTGAGTAAAGCGTGTCCTTCTACAATACAGTGAGTGTCGGAGTGTCCTACAGGATGGTAAGTCTCAGCACGAGCAATCTCAGTTGGTTTGCTTACGCCGTGCCGTGTTGACCAGTTTGTCCTCAACGCTGGACCCGGTTTGCGAGTCCACTTTGTGTGTTGACCAGATCCTTTTCTTAATTCATCCATGCTACCTATTTTCACTTCAGTTCAGAAAAGAATTAAGATTAAAAAAAGGGACTAAGCTGTATGTCTCATCACTCTTGTCTGTTGTTGTTTTAGTTGTTTGAAGGTAGAAGTTGGGATTAGAGACAGTTATTTGAAGATATTTTTAGTTCTCTGAAGGTATTTTTATTTGTTGGTCCTGAGTTAGTTTCTA